AACAAGAATGAGACATCGAGGATCTCGTTCTCCAGATATGGACGATATAAAGTAGGAAACAAAGTGCGTGTTTGTTGAAAGTTCTGAAAAAAAAGATCACAATTCTCAACTTTTATGTTCAGAGAAAAAGATTATAAAAGCTGTAAAATATTCCCACCTTGTCCATCAGAAAAGGCTTATTAGAGAAATTTCTATTCGATATAGTTGAGAATTTTGAAGGCTAACAAACTCTTGTTAAATATTCTCAGTAAACCTTTATTGGTAAACATTATACAAAGCGAATGTGCTTGTTTTATAGGCCAGCAAAATATAGTGTTAAGTGTTCAAAATGTTTATGCATGTATCTCGATGCAAACTTATCGTACACAAATTTTTGTTTTATACCTGCTTCAAAATATGAGTGTTACTTCAGATATCAAGAAGCAGAAATGGCTTTACGTATACACGATCAGCCTAAATTAGATGATTGTTTCACCAATACTTCTGTGGAATCGTTTGCTCACAGTCTGCTCAGCAGAGTTTTCGTGTCGGTTGCAAATATTTTTTATGAAAAAGAGAAAGGATATGATTGTAATTACTTACGCGACTAATATTTTTCATAAAAATATGAAGCGAAAACCGAAAACTTTCTATGCTACAATTCTTTTGGATAGTACTTTAGAAATTAGAGCGAATCAGTTATGATTTCACCGATTATTTCAGAGAAACTGGTCGACCCGATGAAGCAGCTGATGAGGGTAAGTTGGCTCTAAAGCAAAATGTATTTTCGTGGACGAGTTTGAAAACATTATGTAATTTGGGCGTCGGAAATCCAGAAAATATTTACACAAGTTTATTGACATGTGTAAATGAAGCACGTTCAGCAGATAAACCAAAGACTTCTAAAAGGTATATTTTAAAGTTGGGTTATAAGTGAATCCAGATACACTTCAGAGTATTTTACAGCTGTTAGTGTTTTTTTTTTAAAAAATATCCAGGAGCTGCAGCTCGTGAGTTCTATCTTACAAATGTTAAGACTGAATTTATCCGAGTTTGCCTAATTTATATGGCTTGACTGAAACTTTTTTTCCTAGTTCAGAAGTGTGTACTTTTGTTTAGCTTTTGAAGTATAATTTAACACATCTTTTAATGGTAATTCACGAGTTGTTAGGACAGAAATTATTACGCATTTGCGATACTACTCGTAGCATATGAGAGCTTATCATCTTTTGGGAATCTGTGGGATCGCAGTATTGATTATGAATTTCTAGCACGGGTGTGCCAATGAGGAGCGTTGAGAAAGTGACAAGAAATGCGGAGAAAAGAACGCCAAGTGGTAGTAAAGAAATTGAGCAAAAAGTGACTTGTTTTGCACCAAAAAAAGTAAAACGGTAATTTTTGTTAAACATTTCAAATTATGCATAATCATTTTTCTGACATAGGTTGAAATTCTTTTTTAGGGCATAGCAGCTAAGCGAAATACGGAACTAGGTATAGTTAAAAGACGATTGGAGGAAGGCATGGAAACACGGCGCAGCGTGCGTTCGTATGGAGTCTCACAGGATAGTGAAAATCAAACTGTTGCTAAAGATTTGAGAACTTCTACACGTTCTCGTGTTGCAGGCCTCTCTGCAAGTGGAACACCACGTAGTTTGCAAGACAAACAGTTACGGTAAAAAAATTTTGGCGAGTATTATTGACGAGAATATATCTCTTATTCGGTTTTAATTTTTGCTAAAGATATTGCTTTTGACCTTAATTTTCTTTCAGATATTTCATATATAAATACGTAAATAAATCAAAAACAATGCCTTGTATATATATTTATATATAAAGAGACAAAACTTTAGACCATTAAATTTCAGCTCAGTAAATCGCATCAACGAAATAGAGTTATCGAAAACACCACCACCGATACCTTCAATTCACAAATTAATGGAATCAAATGATGATCTTCCGGAAACACCACCTAAACTGCAAGATGAATCTGCTCACCAAGCGCAGAAAAGCTCATTAAGTCGTAGACGTTCTGGCTCTCAGCCTTCTGTTATTCCCCTTTCTTCACACGATCAAAATACTGTACAGTTTAAACAGGAGGTTGGCATTTTTCTCATGTTTTCTTCCTTTACATTTCGTGCATATATCGTAAAACTAGTCACTAATATCTACGTTGCATCTCACAGGTGATTGCCCAATTTGGGGAATGAGTACTGTTTTCAGTTACTCATTTTTTTGCTCCCCGTTTTCATTTTCACTTTTGATATTTCCCTTCCACTCTTTCCTTTTTTATAGCTACAAACGTTCCTTTTCCTTCGTTTTTCTTTTTTTTTTTTTTCTAAATATTCACACGACTCGAATTTAATCGACTTCTGTCTTACGAAGAGATTATAAATCGTTTATAGTAATAAAATGACAATTGCCAAGTGACAGTAATAAAGTAAAACAGATCCTCGTCCATTACCTTCATCATTTGTTTATCACTTAGATTAACCACAGGTATAGCCACATCATGCTTCATGCAAATGAGTAATTCAACTGATGTGCTGAATGACAAATCAGGTTTGATAATGGACTCTTGCTAATCGTTTTACATTATCGTTTTATCAACATTACAGAATTTTTATGTTTTTCTGGCTTTTGTATTTATAAAATCTTGAGTCATTATGCCGGTAGTATTTCTATTAGCGGTTACTACTTGGTGTCTAAAGAATTAGGTTCTACTATTTTTATGGTCTGGAATTAGTAGTACAATTTTTCTTTCCAGAATTTCTATTTTTTGGAAAGTCGGATTAAAATTAACGAAGAATTCAATAATATTAGGGTGTAAGTGGAAGTTTTAGTTACATAGATCTGTATTTGACATATGGCAGAACAACAAGCTGATTCTTGCAGCCGGAATCATTGGGTGTCTCAGTTGTTTTCTCACGTTCATCATCCAGTGTGTCGTTGACATCTTCTTGTTCACCTCAACCAACCAGACATCGTAGCAGGGAGAAATTTCGATGGGAGACATGTACTCGAATAATGAAACGTTTACATAGTTTCGTTTCGAGACCGCCATCAGTTCAACGTCTTCAGCGCTGTATTACTGACTGGTCTGCTCTATTCAGTAAGTTCTTTTTGAAATTTGGGGGAAAACTACTTGAAAATTTGAAAAGGATTGAATAAAACTGCGAAAAGATATATGAGGTTGAAGAAATAATCTTAAGCAGTTCATAATTTTCTACTTCCTTATGTTTGTGTGTTGTTTCTTATATTATAGGGTTGAGAGGTGCATACGTACGTTTCATTGTTCCATTTCCTATAGGTTTTATGATTATAGTAGAAAACATGTGTTTTTATACGATCCATGTTTGCAGCGACAGTGGTAGAACACATTAGTTGGTTAGCTATGCTTCAATGTGCTGTGGCGACATACAGATCAAACTCAGTAATTGGCCGCTACAATCTGATGCCTGAAAAGTGCAAAAAATTTGCCTTGGCTAGGGAATTGCTGGCTCGGGCATATTTAGAAAAGCTTGATTATACAAAGGCAACAGAAATCCTGGAAGAACTTCACCAAGAATTTCCACATCGCGTTGCAGGAATGGAGGTTTGTCGCTCTGCCTGCAGTTCATATGTGATTACTGCGATTGCATGCCAAACATGCACGGTTCTGCCTCAACTTCAGAAAGAAATTGTATTAGCTTTCCAATATTAGATTTGATCTTCCTAGAGGCTTTATTGATTGGTAGAGTTTAATCCTCGTTGAGTCAACGTAGAGCAATAGCTTTTTAATGTTTGAAGCATCTTATGCTTTCAGATTTGCTTGATTGTTGTCATCTCTATTTTGTCTTGGTCTTAGTCGGATTTTATGACATCCAGTAGTTTGATTTACTTCACTTTTAGTTCTTCAGTTCAACTCAGTTGGACTTTGAAAATAATGATATGAAATAAACAATAATACTATACTTAATTACGTAGTTGTGAAAGCTGGTGTAATTCATTTACTTCCAGATTCTTTCAACAGCACTCTGGCATGCGCAAGATGTCCGTCGACTGTCGGTACTTGCTATGCAAATAACAGAGGAATGTCGCTTTTGTCCTGAGGGTTGGTGTGTAGCCGGTAATTGCTTCAGCGTGCAAAAGCAGCATGATACAGCCATTGAATGTTTCGAACGTGCCGTCACTATTAATACACGTTTTCCATATGCTTATACGTTGTTAGGGCATGAATTGCTGGATTCGGATCACCAGAGCAAAGCTGCTGCTGCCTTTAGGCAAGATTTTTCTGTTTTCTTATTTTTTTATAATGCATAAGAAAGTTTGAGTATAAGTTACCAAGTAATATTGTAAAACTGTCACCAATCGTATACGAGTAAAAGCATGTTTGCAATAGCTTTGAAATTTATAAAATACTGTTGTTGCTATTTCAACTCATTCATCAACGTGGTGCACATTGTCTATTTTTATTATTATTCGTTTTATTCCTCGTACGCATTGGAGAGTACGTGAACAAGTTTCACTTCCAGTAGGTAACAGATTACCTGATAGAAGTGCAAACATATATAAATCATGTAAGCATGTGTCCAGTTTAATAGTAAGAATGAGCGTCTAAATAATCACAGTTTTGCAGACGCGCACTTCTGCTTTGTCCGACTGATTACCGTGCCTGGTTCGGACTAGGATTATTGCATTTTAAGAAAGAACAAGTGAACCTTGCTCGTGTTCATTTAAGTCGGGCTGTAGCAATCAATCCGTTTAATTCAGTTCTACTATGTCAATTATCAGTTGTTGAACAAGCACTGCATAATAATGATACGGTAAAATATTTTGTTGAGAAGAAGGCATTATGGAATATAGTTCAATTGTTCGAAATTTATTTTTTTTTTTTTTTTTTTTTTTTTACGTAGATTGTCGAGCTTAAAATATGTGTGAAGCTTTGTGGAATTATGAGCCTTTAGTGGAGAATAAGAATAAGTGAAGAAGTAAAACAAAAGAACTAGCATGCGGCGCATGGATAACAATATGTTGACAAATAAGAGTAGGAGTGGTGAATGTTATATGTAATGAGATAAAGTGAAGTGTGTTACAGGCAATGGAACTGTTACAGAACGCGTTGAAGATTTCACCAGACAATGCTGCTTGCAGATTTTATCGTGCTCGTTTGTTGTATGAAATGCATGATTATGCTCAATGTCTCGAGGAGTTAAATGATCTAAAACTTATTGCTCATGATGAAGCGCAGGTTTGTTGTTTTCTTTACGGATTTACGTTCATATTTAGACTTTTCATGATATTTGGCCACTTTTCTTCTTCCTTTGCAATTCTCGAAAGGAAGTGCATGAGCACATTATTGCTTGCTTACTACTGACAGTGGAATTGGAATTTACCAAATCTTATGTAACATTCAGTTTTATCCCTTTATCGCTTTGTTGATTCCAA